TGCGGTACTTTATTTCCTAAAGCTTTCAGCACTTTCAGTGAGAGTTGATTTTGAATGTGACTTGGCTTCAAAGGGGTTGCGTGATTGTAGGCTATGATTTTACCTACTATTATAATATGATGTTTTTTCCTACTATCAACTCGCGAAAGGTTTGCATAATTCTATAACATAAAAATGAATCGCAAAATGTGTTGGTAAGCGCATAACTTAACAACACCTGGACCAATTATAACAATTCTTTTTTAAAATGTTCGTTGAAGTCCAAGGATGGTTTTTACGGCGAGAAAAATTCGAATAATTTCCGGGAAAACTCTAAAAACAGCCCTTTTCTTTTTCCTATACAAACGTTTTCTAACTAGAATGTAGAGTCAATTTGAACTTAATTGCTATTCTATAAAGTTCATATTAAACTACAAGTACCTACTCACTGTTGTCTAAGCATTAGGTGTGTTCCTAACACAAAAGAGTCAATTTTTTGTTAAAATACTTAAATTACGTCCGTGCGAAGCCGTAGTAGTTTATAATATGGGAAAATCAATATCTTACTCAATATCTCTGTTTTGTTTAAGGTCAGCTGGTAGATAATGACTTATGGCATTAAGCTCGCCTTTTTGTACTAAACATTGTTGTGTGTGCAATAAAGTCTTTAAATAAATAAATAAAATCGTGGAAAACGAATTGAAGCTTGCTTCCTCTTATAAGAGGCATAGAATAATCGGCGTTTTAACTTCGATCGTTCTTTCCACATCCATAAGGTAATAGCACGAATTCACGAGCATCATATCAATCGAATGTTGTTGCGTGCACGTAAATCCAAGGTGTTTTTAGGCGACAGCGGCGGTGCCGTGTGTGACAACTTTATGGTCTCGCCTTTGTTTTGCTGGCCGTACCGTGGCGCGATGGCGCTCATGGGAAGGTAGACTTGCCTTTTTGTCTTAAGTAAACGCTTATATTTTATCTTACGTCTCCGTTCCACTTTTTAGTTTCTAAGTACCCACGCTTAGATTAAAAAATACGTTTATTTGAGTGAACGCTTAACAGTTTTCCTTAATGAAAAACTACACTCGACATCAAANAAAAAAGTCCAAGGATGGTTTTTACGGCGAGAAAAATTCGAATAATTTCCGGGAAAACCCTAAAAACAGCCCTTTTCTTTTTCCTATACAAACGTTTTCTAACTAAAATGTCGAGTTTATTTGAACTTTATTACTATTCAATAAAGTTCATATTATATTACAAGCACTCACTGTTGTCTAAGCAATGTAGGTGTGTTCCTAACGTCAATGAGTCAATTTTTTGTTAAAATACTTAAATACACCTGTGCGAAGCCGGGGCGGGCCTCTAGTTGACTATAAAACATGGAAAGATCGTGGAAAATGAATTGAAGCTTACTTCCTCTTAAGAGGCATAGAATAATCGGCGTTTTAACTTCGATCGTTCTTTCCACTTCTACAAGGGAATAGCACGAATTCACGAGCATCATATCAATCGAATGTTGTTGCGTGCACGTAAATCCAAGGTGTTTTTAGGCGACAGCGGCGGTGCCGTGTGTGACAACTTTATGGTCTCGCCTTTGTTTTGCTGGCCGTACCGTGGCGCGATGGCGCTCATGGGAAGGTAGACTTGCCTTTTTGTCTTAAGTAAACGCTTATATTTTATCTTACGTCTCCGTTCCACTTTTTAGTTTCTAAGTACCCACGCTTAGATTAAAAAATACGTTTATTTGAATGAACGCTTAACAGTTTTCCTTAATGAAAAACTATTTTCCATTATTCCATTCATTATAGCCCGGTACTTATTTAGGTATACCAATTTATTTTCATGTCCTTCTGTCTTCATATTACTGATATTACTAAAACTTATTTTTTATAGGAAACATACAGGCAAGTAGGTACCCTAGATATTTATTAGTTAATGTCGGTAAGAGATAAAGAATGTCGCTAGTCTACCGCAGACTCAAAATCGTACAATTTATTCGATGGGAAATGGTAGGCATTTGAAGTAAACAGATTTTTGGTTAAACGGTATAACGCTATGAGCGATTAATTTATTGTTATGAAATCTGCTTCGACAGGTAGGTAACCATTAAGTCCAATGGCGTAGAAGCTCGTATGATGACAAGTATTAGATTCTCGAGGGAATCAATTTTTTCCAGCAATAATAATAATAATTATCTTGCCCTAAACTAAGCAGCTTGTTTCTCTACAGATTTGCTAACGGATAACACTATTTTTAATAAGGTTTATGAACCATACGATGTCTCTCTGTCTGGTGGGATAATATGGACCTGTAGTTTCAAGTGTTGTATTCCGATACGCGAGCTACTGACCATCAATTTAGAATCGGTTTTGTAAAATGGCTGCGGATCGACTGTGCTGGGAAATACCTCTGGAAAAATTCTTTTTCTGCTTTTACTTCGTTACCGGTCTCTAATAACTCTAATTTACGGCCGACTTCTGCCTTTGTTCAAAGCTTCCTCTTTCATGGTTTTGGACCATCAAAATGGTACATTCTTTTGGTTGATATAGTGCATCAGAGGGCTTTGTTGATTAGGCAGTGGCTACAGTGTTTTATTGGTGAAATTCAGTGGTTTGAAATCTTTAAATATTGATTTATTGATGTAAAATAGATAAAACAAATAACACTTTAACTTTCGGAAAACATTAAAGTTGTACTAGATCAGTTTATTTTATTAGTTGATATGGCACGTAGTCTTATTAATTACTAAATACGATCTTATATTACCTAACTATATTTAGATTTAATTTTGTGAGACAATTATTATTACCCTAGTTGAAAGAGAATAAACAACTGCCGCTCCGCTTTATAGCGCCCTTCCTACTCCATCTCAGATCCACCGCAGAGTTAACCTACCCTCACAACGCGGGTACATTTGCCCTAACGATGAGGTTACGCTGACGGTTAATTGCAATCACGTACCCGGGCCTCGAATGACCTACCCTCACTTTTACAGCGCGCACAATAGGGCTAGTTTTATTGCTGTCTTTGTCCTTACGGCCCTTTTGAGTGTTGCTTGGTTTTCTCATTTCTGCTGTGAAATAATCTTGACTTCATATTAATCGGATGTTTGTTCCAACTACTAAGTATACCAGCTATAGCTACAAAGGGGACTACTTGTCACATAATCGTGCTATGGACATTCTATGACTCATTGTGCTCATCACACTAATATTTTTTCCTCACTGGATTCGATCCTAACAACAGCTGGCTGTGTAATTTGAAAATATGAACGATTTAACGAACAAAGGGCTGCCTGTTACCTACAGCTGAATTAAGTAGGTGCATCATACAACCCTGCAGGCTTGGCTGCGATTTCTGATGACAGATTGACTTAATTTGGCGGTATTCTATCATACAACCATATCATGGGGCTATCAAGCTCTTTCTAATAGATACTTATTTTACATTTTCACAAGCGTCTTAAATCTTCCTCAAGACCTCAGTAAACAAGTTACGTCACATTAGCGGAGGTCACGTACTGGCCATTAAAAAAGCAGATACAAAAAGCACTTCTAAGAATGCTGCAGTAAATTATATTCAAAACGCTGAGATACCAAAGCGCTCTCGCGGTCGTCCTACTCCGTATCTTCGCTTCATTTCCTGTGTAGAGATGCTAGTCTGTAACTGTCTGTAACGATGTCCTTAAGTAATTTGTCTCTATCTCACTCACTCTAGGTTGCTTTCAATGAGGAGGAAGGGAGAGCGTAGGTAGGAACGGGAACCCTTAAAATAGGAAACGTCTGTTGGAATAGACCTTCGAAGTTCCGCGCGATCGGTTGCCTGAACAAGTCGCGGCCGGACAAGATTTACGAAGCTAGCTTTTGGGTACGGACAGCAAAATAAGTTGGATGAGATATTTATGTCCTATCTAACTTTTTGAAATGCCTTTCCTGATCAATGCTATGACAGNCAGGACAGGGAGACTGATGTATCATCATCATCAATGAAAACCGTTTACTCAGACAGTCTTCACATTATAATACACAAGCCTACGGTTCATTTAGTGGCTTACAGTATTTTTGGTAGACCATATCAATGTAGCGGTCGAGAATAATATGATTATGAGATATGGTCTACCAATAATAATTTAATTTGAAGATGTGGAAGATTTTGATGTTTAGTTTCTTCATTAATATAGGTAAGTACTTAATCTAAATAATTAATGTTGGCTACGTTTTAATTTTCTCTGCTATCCCTCCATCTTGGAGCTAATTTAATCCTGGAGCAGTTTATCTCCTCCAAATTCAGGGCAACTGTCCAATATCAGCCGTGAGATACGGAGCCATCGACGCGAGCGACGGGCCTTGATTAGCTTGATAAACAAATTCGAGCGCCTGATTAAAAAGATACGGCAAACGCGACGGAGAGAGAAAAATAGCGTCAGGCGTTAGTCGTGGGAAAGACGGTTTTAAGCGAACTCGTTTTTCTTTAGATTGCTAGTGTACCTATAGTTCTTGCAACTCACAGAGGTGAGTGAGCTTTACTTGTGTTTGTACTTGTAGGTACATGCACATAACGGTACCTAGTGTAATGTCTATCAACACTTTTGAAAAACTAACGATACTGTTAGTTTGCCACCATGTAAAGCTCACTGGCCTTCGTGAATTGCAACAACTACATATAATAATTGTAAGGTAGGATAAAAATATTTGTCCTTTAAAGGAATAATGACATTTTAGTAACATTAAATCTTGGTTTCTATAATGTAGAGTTCCTTCAAAATTGAACGAAGCTCGAAGTACCAAGTTATTATTACACTTAACACTTGAATAAGTAAATATGTGGTCTGTGATATTTTTACGTTATAATTCTAAGTTACTCATTATCTTTTCGATCAAATATGATAAACTTCAGATGAGAAAATTGGTTATAAAATGAAAAACTTTCATGTAAAAACAATGTTTTTATTTGAAGACTTTTTGGTAAATGCAAATGAAATACCGAGACAAACAACCGGAGTAGAATTATTTCTATTGTACATTAATTATGGCCACTTAACATTAGAATGTGTTTAGAAAATTCAAATAGAAGCGATTTCTTATTAATACAAGTCAAATAAATAATTATAAAATAAAAATAACAATGGCGTTATCTCTAACATTATTGTAAACGCATTTTTTCACAGAAGTCAATAAATCATGTAACCTATGTTTTAAAAGGAAGTCAATAATTTTAATATTTGGCGCCTAAAAATATAAATTTTCGCTAAAATATTTAAGTACAACCATTTTTCTTAAAATAAAGTATGTAATAATTAATTGTACGAATAAAATTGTACTTGCGTCCTGTGAAAAAATGCTACAAAATACGACATTAATAAAAAATATTTACATTAATTTATTTATTAGTAACTGGCAGTTATTCTGAAGGCACATAGTTCATTTTTCGTAAAATTAGATACAGAAAGAAGCATTATCAAGCCTTTTCTAACGTTAAAATAATTGCAATTTTTTCACGTTTGAAATTGATATGTTAATATATGATAATAATGTTTACGATGAAGTATTTTGCTAGTTTCTTGTTACTAAAATATTGCTTTTTTGTTTAAAACTATAAAATGCACCACATTTAATTACTTGTTTACATTTTTTATTGCTCAATTTTAAAGCGTGTATGTACGTCACCTACCTTGTATCCTACCCTCTTCGAAAAAATTACTGCCACTGACTACCTAAGTACAGGTATTTTGTAATTAGCTTGCCTTAAAGTTCGTTAAAATATTACAAATTAAACATACTTAGCTCTCTTTCTTCTTCTAATTATAATTTTTGATTATTTCCTTCTTCGGAGCATTGCAATAATTTCAAATGACTCTTGAGGGTAGGTCATCTATAAAAAAGACAATACAACCACTACCTTACGAGATAATGCCTCCTAAATACATTAATTTAATATTTTTAAAGCGTCCACATTACCTAAGTAGGTCCGCTAAATTTTTGGGAATTAGTCAATGCAACTTTCATAAAATGTTACTCATTTAGTAAAAAATATGTATACCTAATTATTATAAACTTAGATCACATTTCTCCACTCCCATACAACAACAACACACTTTTTACAATATCTATCACACATCGAGATTAATCCTTTTCTATCTAACATTATTATTTTTTGTTTTTTTTTCTATTATTTACTAGTATGGCGTACCGACACGGATATTTGAATTCCATCAAAAAGCTAGCAACATTAATGGCTTCTAAAATTAAGCACATTAACATTGTTACCTATTCGAAATATATTTATCGTGACTAGTAAATTACAATCCATGTAATATTTATTTACATCAGCATACATTTCATACACCTTACATAACATTTTTGACAAAAATGTCTAAGGCACACAACTGACTATGTATTCGACAAAATAAGGCACGAACAGCCCGATTCAACCTCGTTGACGTCACAAATAAATCTATTTAACAGTGAAGTTTTAAATATCTATAAAACAAATTAGGTGCTAAAATATCCGACACGTGAGAGTGATCTACCAGAGTTGACAAAATAAAAACAAATAGTAATTAGAACGATTGATTAATCTATTATAAACAAAATCGTTAAAATAATGAATTTATTTATGGTTATGATAATGATTTTGTCAACCTTTGATCACCGTCACAAGATGGCGGAATTTTATAACACAAGATGGCCGCCACAATGACGCGAAGCGACAACACAAGCCGTGATATCTGGTGAAGGGCGCAACACAAAAACCGATCAAGTGCATCTTTTTAATATGTGAATCTAAAGCTACGAAACTACAGGTGACATAAACTAGTAAACTAGTAGCTTATAGGTCTAGTTTCTACGATTTATCTGCTCGGTTTTTACCTAATCTTTCAAAGATTAATAAGTCATAATGAATCTCTTGCTTCAAAAGAGCAATAATTACGTCATCTAGATATCAATGTTCCATGAACAGTTTTATTAACAAACAAGAGAGATGACAGCAAAATACCTACCATCTTATAAATAGCATTAGGTATCTTATTAAATTACTAGAAGATGAAACAATCGATATTTTTCTTTAAATGCATTTTCAGAAAGCAAATTACTATCTGAACGATTCCTTCCCTAAAATCAATAGATGCATTGATCAATTTCTTAAAACTTGTACACCAGTACTTTCTGTCAGTACCTATCCAGACTAGTGGAGTCTCGGCTCGTGAGGTCGCTGGCCGCATCAGTGGACGAGCTGGAGTCGGCCGCCGGACCGCCGGACGCCGACTCAGCGGAGTCGGCGGTGTCGGCGGTCCCGCCGGTGTCGCTCGTCACGCCGATGTCGGTGGTCGGATATCAAAGGTGCTCATCGCGACCGTTCAAGGGCTGGCGCTCGGCGTGGTCCGAGGGGCGGTTGCGCTTGAAGAAACCGCACTGCAAGAAACCGATAAACGATGTTAGTCGAATAGCGATTCAGGAGTCTCCTAAAAGCGAAAATTACAAGACATAATGGATTGTGAAAGGAAAAATGAATAGGGATGATTTAGTCCGTCAGACAGATAAATTAGAAAATTTCTCATATTTTTTATTTTTTTCCATAATTGAATAATTACAGTATTATATTGAGTTGAAATGTCGCGTGACGTCACTTTTGAGTAAAAATTCTACTCAAGTATGACGTATCGCGCCATTTCAACTCGATGTAGCACTGTTATTATTTAATTATGAAAAAAAAATATGAGTCTAATATTTCCTAATTATCTGTCTGACGGACAAATAATTGAAATTTTGTCATCTAGCCTATTGTTGGAAGGATTGAACTCTATTGTTTAGGCGTTATTTAAGTAGAAACAAGGCTGTTTGTTTATTTGTCGGAGCAAGTTTCGAGGATGCAACATGTTTACATCAAAATAGTGATGTCATCGGCTTGTCCTTTGCAATAAAAAATTCATTCGACTGGTAGTGTCAGCTACCCTAATTACCTTGTAAAGAGCGAAGATCAGCAGCAGCAATAACAATGCTCCAATGACAGCGGCCAGTATGATGACCCACAGCGGGATGGAGCCGCTCTCGAGCGCTTCCAGCTGCGGCGTCACCACCGTCTGCGCCTCGGCCTTCTGCCACTCCGCCTCGCGTTGCTCGCCCAACACCGCTAGCCGGGACACACGAGCTGCTGTTAGCGTGGACAGGATCACCGCTCGGTCTTTGGAGATCTGGAGATTTTCAAAGAATTTTATGAGAAACCACATCACTAGTTCACAAAGGTATTGGTTAAAGCTATGTCGAGTAAACAGAGCATCGCTCTGTTTCGGTTTTAGATGTAAGAGTACGCTAAGAAATTGGATACCGCCATACTACTAGTACTAGTAGAGAATGACTTATGGCATTAAGCTCGCCTTTTCAACCGACTTCAAAAAAGGAGGAGGTTCTCAATTCGACCCGTATGTTTTTTTTTTCTATGTTTGTTACGCGATAACTCCGCCAATTATGAACCGATTTGAACAAATCTTTTTTCGGCGTATAGGTAATACCTCAAGGGTGGTCCCATTTAAATTTAATAATAGAAAAAACAACCCCCAAGGGTGGAAAATTGGGGATGAACTTTTTTATACGCAATATCTCCCCCCCCCCTTCTCCCAAACTTGACGTCATTACCAGTTTGACAAAATTGAAACATTGCAGATTTGAGAAAAATAGGGTATTATATATGATTAAAACACTTGGTTATAGAATCACCTTTTTTTTGCATGTTTACTATGAGTTATTTTAGTATTGTATGCGCCTTAGCCGCCTCTCACATTTGCAGTCTCATTTACTAGGTGTGCTGGAAGAAATTTCTTTTTAGAAATAATCTTTTTGTACGTGAACAATAAACTATAAATAAATAAATAAGAATGACGCCAATTTCGAAACCCCCCCCCCCCCTCTAATTTAAAATGACGAAATATGTGGATGGCCCCAAACCACGTCTGTATGGTATAGGATAAAAGAGCTATGTCGAGTGGGTAAAGTCAGCGTTCGGTCTTTGGAGATCTGCAGAATTTGGAGAAACTATATCACTAGTTCACAAAGATATTGGTTAAAGCTATGTCGAGTAGACACCGCTCTGTTTCGGTTTTTGATGTCTGAGATCACTAAGATCTTCTTTTTTTGTTGTTTAACGCTGCGTAAAAGATACCCACTGAAAATCATTCTCTTGGTAGTTACACTGTCTAGATGTTACTGAGTAGGTGACCTTTTTTGGCAACTTTGTAATTTTTTTGTGTATACATCTTTGTTGTCTAAGTTTGTTGCCAAAATAAAGTTATTTTCTTTCTTTCTTTCTTTCTAAGAAATTAGATACCGCCATACTTATCAAGGACGAGAGAACAAAAATATCTGATCTTTATTAGATTCCACCTTCAATCATTTATTTAGGTTATATTATTCAGCTTAAGTATATCAATAATTTAGGTTTTTTGCAGTTGAATAGATTCAACCCGTGAGCTTGAGTGTTCAATGAAAATGTATTGCCTATTTTTTGATGTCTCACTTATTGAAAAAGCTTGTGTCAGATGTGATTCTTACCTCATTGAGGACGGACGCATTAATCCTAGACTTCAACGCCAGCCACACTTCCTGGCCCTTCACCAGTCGGCCGGTGGTGCAACGAAGCACCTCGCACTTGTACTTCTCCTCGCACTTCTGAAGAATGTCTGTCAGTTGAGGATCAGCCTGGAAATAAAAAATACACCTTTGTAGTGGGCAGATTCTTGGTTTTAGATGTCGGATGTTTTCTCAGATACTTTTTCGGAGATATAATTTAATTATTTATACTGACCTGATCCTGTCGTCGCCTTCTTGTACTTTCACGCCTTTGTGATGTAGAGCCAAAACTGCTGCCATAAGTATTGTAAGTTGTTTGACCACCTACAACAAATTTTTTGCTGAAGAACATAGGTACCATAATAGGAATCAAAACAATTCAGAAAAGGATGTTAAACATTTATTACCTGACTGAGAGTAAGAGTAGCCACCACCAGAACTTGTTTGAAAAGAACTACCGCTAGATTGCGCGCTTCTGCCGCCAGCCGTTTGATAGTTCCGCCCGTCAGTCCCGCCTCCCGAGTGGTAGTTCCCGCCAGTTCGTTGGCCTTGTCCCGAAGTCTCCGCGCCAGTAACATCGCCGAAGCCTACTCGGAACTCATTGTTCGGGTTTCTCGCAGCCGCAGCACCAAACCCTCCTATGGCATCGTCTTCATCTTCAAGTACAGTGTTGGAGGCGCTCCCATGGTACGTCGACGATCCAGCATTCATGATGTCCGAGTTGACGGTTTCTGTCGTAGCCCAGGCGCCGTGTACGAAACCCGCCTGGCTCTGGCCAGAAGATTGACCTGAACCTTGGCCATATACTGCTCCTCGTTGGGAGTAAATGTTGCCTGATCCTTGGGATCCAGCACTTCCGAATCTCCCTGACTGAGATGAGGAGGCGTGGCTGCCACCACCACTAGCGTGATCTCGGTTAGCGTAACTGTAATAAAAATGTATTGTTACATTATGAACAAATTAACAATGTTACCTAAATAGGTATAATGATACTTCTTTGTTATTTACTTACACGTTAAAAGAGCTTCCAGCTTCACCTTCGTGTCCTAAAGATCCATATTCGGTGCTTGTCTCGGTTTCCGATATAACATTGCCGTGCTCATCAAATTCAATGGTCCTGTTTTTAACTCGAACGACAGATCCGCCATCAGCCAGTCCTTGGCCGTATGTTCCTTGGCTGCGATGTCCTTGGCCTTGGCTAGTTCCGTATTGAGGAGGTCTGGCAGCTGCTGCTGCCAAGTACTTTCTAATCTTTTCCTGCTGTTCCACAGTTAGTCCTTCGTTATAGGAGTCACTGCTCCATGACTTATTGTATGTCGTGCTGCTGCCCCGGTTGTCTTGGCCACCGCCGGCTTGGGCAGTGCCGAATTGACCTCTCTGGCTGGTGCTGTAGCGAGTGTCTGATGCTTGGCCGCCGCCGCCGCCTTGTCTGTTGCTTTGACTTGTCCCGTATTGTCCGCCAGAATGTTGGCTTCCACCAGACTGTTGATTTACTTCCCAAATATCTGCAAAAAAATAATGTGTTTTAGGTATTTCAGGAATTTTAAAGTCACTGCCTGTACGTATGGTAGTATTTTTTTTTCGAAATAATAAATTCAGTTCTTACTTTGGCCGTAATATCCACCGCCTCCTGCTATTTGTGAACCAGAGTATAAATCGCTGCTCATCATTGCTGAAAGAAAGATAATTCATTTTAAAATAGGTAATCCCTGAGCCTGTATTTGATATTTTGATACAGTATCACCATTAGCTGAATGAGCTTTGGTTTCATATTGACCTATTGGTGTACTTCAGAGGCTAGTAGTATAGTCGTACTTGTGTTAGCAGTACGCTCGAAAACGGTTCGAAGTAGAGACACGTGGGTAATGGAAAGCTGTGTGTAATGAGGGCTATCGTTTTAGCGCTCACCAGTTAGCGCCACTGTAGAGTAAGGTCCTGTCACTTGCTAGTAGCGAAGACAGTGGCACCAACTGGTGAGCGCTAAAGTGGTAGAAGGACTATCGCATTTGCACTCATCAAGATGGCGCCACTGTAGAGTAAGGTTCTGTCAATCGCCAGGGGTGCCAACTGTTAAGTATAAAAAAGATAGCCCTCATTGCGTGAATTTTTAGTCACTATGGAGAGCTTCATGGGACAACAACGGCGTATAAACAGAACTGTTTTTAGCGTTATTATCCTCAAAACTTCCCATTGTAATTTGTCGATATGCCTACCTTCTTTTTCCTTGTTGAGCAAGAAGGTGTACTGGCTGGCCACGAGGAGGTTCTCGGGGTTGACGTGCCGCGCGATGTTGCAACGCACGTCTCCTAGCCACTGAGGCTGAACCAGCATGTACATGAGGTTCTCACCTGGAATACAGTACATATTAGTTTCCTTCTTAGCAAATTCAAATTCTTTATTAGTACCAGTTCCACCAGCTCGCACTAAGCGTTTCGACGACTCGTTTATAATGCGAACAGTGTGCTTACCATGAGTTTACGTTAGGTGAGCTCGCTAGCGAATACGTCAAAAAATTCTATGAAGATTTTATTTCTTGAAAGTAGCCGCTAGGGGGCGCTGCATAATATGTCATACATTTAAATGTCAATTTTTTACGCCGTCGCTAGCGAGCACACCTAACGTAAACTCATGGTAAGCACACAGTTAGGGACTGGAATTCGCTGCCTGCTGCTGTATTTCCTGAACACTATAATTCGGGCGTTTTTAAGGCTTACGGGGCAGATATGTACCATTCTAGACTGCATCTCACTTAACACCAGGTGCGATTGCGGTCAAATACCTGCCTTGTCTTGCATAAAGAAAAACCTAAATGTAGGCCTTTTTCACGCCCCAATGAACTTATTACACGCCCAAAACTTGCAGTTTTTGAGCCATGTGATATTTAAAGATATCTCGGGGAGTTTTTATGCTTTCGAAGTAATTCTTTCACCAATGTTTCTGTTATTGAGAGGTCTATCTTAAAGTCATAAAAATAAAAATTGACATCATGCCTAATTGGCATGATAGTTGGCACGTTTATTGTCATTTATAGTGCTGCTGATCAACTTATGACCTTAGGCAGAGTAAATACAAATGAGTAGGTCATCTTCATAGAAACGCCCGAACGCGGTTTGTATGTGAGCGCGCCAATACGTATGCGGCGCGCACGCACACACTGACAAAATTTAGCTTGGATTAGCGGTGAAGTGCGCTGAATTTTGCCTGCCTTAGGTTAGGTTGACGGCTAGTTAAAGGCGATACTGTGACGATCCCTTTCCGTGTTAATAAGTGTGCTGTAACCTTATGTCACTTATGGATGGGCGTAATGGTTTTATGTTTTTTATAACCTACGAGTAGATTCCGTGGAGGGTAGTTGAACCGGAAGCATGGTCAATCTGTTTTAATGGTTTCAATTTATTATTTAAAATGGACTTTAGTGTACAAATTTGGTGTTATTTTGTGTTCTAAAGTGCAGTGAAGTGATAAATTATAAAAAAAAACTTTGAAACACTTCGAATTTGAGCGCGCATCGAGTGTCGAGTGGGTTGTCGTATAAACAACCCGCTTTGGACCCGGTGGCGTCTTGAAGCCTGCTTACGGGCATACTTAACTCCACGGAATCCATGAAAAATCAATGGAACTGAAACACCTACGTTCTATTGAAATTTATGTCAATTTTTCACTCGACAATCGACATTGGCAGAAATAAACCTCCCAGAGAGGTTTCGTTGCCATTAAATCTATCTAAGTATATAAATAAAAATGAATTGATGTTCGTTAGTCTGATTCCAAGGTCTGATTAAAACTCGAGAACGGCTGGGCCGATTGAGCTGATTTTGGTTTTAAAATGTTTGTCGTAGTCCAGGGTAGGTCTAAACGGTGAGCAAATACGCGCGCGATATTGTTTTTCTGTGACAGACAAAATTGCGACAAAAGGGCGAAGCCGCGGGCGGAAACCTAGTAAAAAATAAAAACCTACCAGTAAGAGTCTGGTAGGGCCACATGACGACGATCTCCGCCTCCTCCACGGTGAAGGGCCCCTCGTTCTTGATGTTGTACTTGTGGATGACCTGCGGGCCCAGCTTGCTCTCGTCCTGCAGGTTGTACGAGTCGTACAGCGACGCGTTGTAGTGCAGCTCGGGAGGGTCGGAGGTTCTAGAAAGGTGATGAAGATGGTTGTTATAAAGCTTTTATTTGAGAAATTACGTACTCACGTTCCTCAGAAGTTGCGCGTTGTGGTAATAAACGCGGTAGTTTTGAAGGTTATACGAGTAATGGTAACAAAAACATCAATCTGTTCCTAGACAAGACGACTCTTAGAGTATTTTAGTAGAGTGGTTTGTCATTACATCAATAACAATTTTCACAATAATTATCAAATTAAAATGAGTAACATTAACGAAACTTTCTTACTGCGTACTTTGGCCATAAATGCTAACATCTTTAGTAGCTACCTACTCTAAAAAGATTTAAAACGTTTTATTTTTTAAGTTAATGACTACATTTTTATTAATTTATTTAGTGAGCAACATAATGAGCTTACAGAAAAAATAAACATAAGGAAATCTAATTCCTTACATAGTTAGATGTGGTTTATATAACTTACAAAACACAGAAGACTCACCCAATAATAGACAAATGTGCCTTGATATCAACCATGATGTTCATGGGCATAGCGTTGTCGTACTGCGTGTCCTGTTCAGGGTTGGTGGAGTTGGCCTCCATGAAGAAGTTCAGGGATGTCACCCTGGAGTCCACTTCTAGCACCACCCGATAATGAACCTGATGAAATACAAGTAAAATATATTTGATCAACTGTTTAGATGTGATTCTGTTGTAAAGTGCAAAGGACTTTTAGAAGATTAAACTAAGCTAAGTATAAAGAAATAAAAAGAAGTTATCGTTAATCGGTAAGATATTTAACGGGGGGATCAGCTCAGCTAATATTTAGTGGGGCGACACCAAGCTTAAAATCTTTTAAAACCACATCCCTCCTTTTCCTTAGTTGAAATTTTTGTCGAAAGATAGTTTATTGCTTTTTGCCTTCTGACTGAGCCATTGTATTATGTGCAGCGGATACAATTTTTTTTGAACTACATTTGTTCTTATTAATTTCAGGAGTTCTCACCTTCTGCCCACTAGGCATGGGGTTGCCCAAATCGCATTTCAGGGTGCTATTTCCATCCTCATCCTGTCCGCTGGTGGAGCAGTAAATTGGCACAGCATCAGCATTGTCCTTGTCGAGCCTCTCCATCTTGGCATAGGTCACGCCAGCCGGCATTCGCAGGTAGTAGGCTGCTTCGAAGGCATCCTCGCCAGAGTTCTCCACTTTCACATCGATGTTCAGGTTGTCTCCGGAGCCGAGGATGTACTTGATGGTTGGGCTGTGGGCAGATATTGAGGACTTATTTACTGCTACAGTCAAAGTCAAACAAAGTCAAAATTTCTTTATTTGTTTAGACTAAAAAATAGTTCTTACAAATCGTCATTTTGCTCTTAAGGAGCCTCTACATGTCTCATAATCTTTTTACCCTACCAGCGCTTCGAGACCAACATTTGGCAAGTGCTGAGAAGAAGCGCCGCAACAAACTCAGTCACCACTGTCTGCCGGTATAAAGTCAGACAAAGAATACTTATGCTGTAGTCGTATAAAGCCTTAGAACCAGCAGCACCAATGAAGCAGGTGGTACTATCAGATAAAGGTAATTGTTAGTATGTATATTACTTGTCTGAGAATTTAAAAGTCTGCATAACATGAATGGCATTTCATCCATCATTAATAAATATTGTGCTATGTTGTTGTGTTAATTGTATTGTTATTGTTTGTTCTCTGTAGCTGTGCCTTAAATAAATAAATAAAATACTATTTAAGTAGGTCATCAAATATGACTATTTTAGTTAGTAATTTTTTATAGCACTGAAACCGACTTAAAATTGATTCTGATCTGCAAACTTACTACTTCAACGGTCCTCCTGTCGGAACCAAATTGAACGGATAAGCTTTTATTAAAATGTGCCAACCAACTGTCACAATGTTTCTAAGAAATTAATTCTATTCTTTCACGAGTAACTTACGTGCTAGCTGCTAATCTCAGATCAGGAATACAGATGTTATCAGCGCCACAGTTCTTGGGGATGTTGAGCGAGTCGGAGGGCTCCATGCCCTCCGTCTGGTCCAGGACTGGGGGCACCACGTTGCCTGAAGGCTGGGTGACCAGCTCGTAAGACATCTTCACCTCGATGGGGGTCAGCTTGTCTCGGAATTCCTCCTGTAATGTTAGATCGCACATGACTTAACTATGACTAACGAATAGAACTGGTTGGGTTTTTTATTGGCGGTCCAGCTGTAGAACCTGGCTACACAGGAGTTGCAGTGATGGGAAAGAGATTTTGATTTTGATTTCATTATAATATTGCTAAATGTATTAATATTGCCTGGAGACGCATGATTAGGAGGACCGGTCCCAAATAAAATGGGAATGGGCCAGGCAAAGAAGAAGATTGATAAATGTATCAATCTAAAAATATTTATTTATTTAGGACAACCAAAAAGACAGACCCAAGTACAAGCAAAGTGGTTTACATACATATTTTAACCATATAAAATCTATCATACTATCTATTAGGTAGGTTTTCACGCTACAGCCTTTCATTTGCTTTAATAGCTTGACATCACAAAATTGTAATTTGTTTTCATGATATAGCTAGATCATCCCCACCCGTTTGGCCAGTGTGGGTAGTAGGCCAATCCCTCCATTTGCCTCTTGTAAGTTTGAAAGAGTAGTACTCCTTTAGTCGAGACTAAATGATGATGACACGTCATCATTTCAGCCATAGGACGTCCACTGCTGAACATAGGCCTCCCCCAATGACTTCCACATCGCACGGTTGGTAGCGGTCTGCATCCAGCGCCTTGCTGCCCCATCGGCCGTCAATTCTGCGTACTATGTGCCCTGCCCACTGCCACTTCAGCTTGCTAATCCATCGGGCTATGTCAGCGACTTTAGTTCGTTTACGGATGATGACACTCACATCCACATAAACCTTGATGTCCCTGCACTCCTGCTGCCCCTGCGTCAGTAGGATGTGCGTCCTGTACGTGGTCTCTCGGCTCTCCATCATGAACAGCCGCTTCGAGGTCTTCTGGCGCGAGTCCAGGTCCAAGGTCACTTCGAAATCTGTAATTTGGTTTATTATCATGAATAAATTATTGACTACCCATGAGGTTTAGCAGACATTTATTATACGTACAAGTGTAATATTCAAGTGAACTGTTTCTAACATCGAAAACTAGAGTGGTATTATTTACATTTAATTTAAGTCTATGATACAGTTTTGATGAGCAATATTTGATAAAATGATTCTGATGAATGACAGATTGATGTCCATAATTCTATACAAAACAATAGTTTGTGCCCCTTCACATGAAACAACTAACAGTAAACAAACACGTGTCTCCCTAAGCTACAATTTTGTGATAAGTGCCAATTATTTCTCTACTCATACTACTCACCGAAGTAGCAGATATATCCCTCCGCTTGGAAATAAGAATACATTATTCTAATACATGATAAATTGATTCGCTAAGATGAACAGATAATACAGATTCAGGGAAACCAGAACAAGATTAGCGAGAGGTAGAATGTATTATACCAAGTATAAAATGAGTCGCTCTGACGGACTTTCAAGACAAGGGGAAAATACGTCATGAATATCGAAGTCAAAGAAATTAATGTGACAATAAAGATACTTACTGATCTGCTGATCGACGTTGATGCCGTTGTACGTGAGACAGAACATGACGTCAGCGCAGGCGACGCGCGTGCCGTTGCCGAGGGTGCAACGTTTCTCAGTCAGAGCGATGGTCTTGCTCTCGCCCATGAACTTTACGTCTGCCATCACTTTCACTACGGGACGGGATCTGAAAAATAAAAGAAGGACAAAGTTAGATACGTCTCAAGACTTGAGAATTAACCCTTAGAACTGAGTTCAATTCAATTAAAGTGTGTAATGTGTGTAGTTAATGTATTAATAACTAGTCAAAAAATGAAGCAAGATGGTAAGTAATAGTGGACTATAACTCTACTTTACGCTCTTGAAAAACATACATATAGATTTTACTTAAAATACTCAAATAACAGTTGCCTTGACAGAATAGATACTTACTTAAGAAACACGATGCTATCCGACTTATAAGCTCCAACAGCCAAGTCGGTGTAGTTGTTGTTGTCCAAATCAACTCCTCCAGAGAGGGAGAAACCAAACGTAGTCAGAGTGGGAGAGATCTCCTCAGCAGTGATGGCTTGGGAGTGCTTCTCGGAGATACCATTCTTGCTGCCAAGGTAAATGTAGACCACACCACGGCCATTCTCTCCACCGTACGGAGCTCCGATTGCAACGTCTGTAATAACATGACAAATCATTACACTTTTGTCAATTACAGAAGAAAATCAGAAAATACATAATGATGAAGGGACTTTAGTATACCTCCAAAGCCGTCCAAGTTGATATCGCCAAGAGATGTTACAGCTAGACCGAATCTACCCTTGGATACTTCACCAGTACGAGAATGATGTCTTGTGAACGTCTGAAAAATCCCAAGAGGAACATTAATTACCATCCTGAGGGATCCTTTTTTACTTATTTCACTAACTGGTTAAATTAAACTGGTTTGCAATAGTTTGAAAAATGATCAGACTCACCCTGTCCCTTCCCTGGTAAATAACATAGACCCTTCCATGTTCATATCCATCGCTCTTCTTCCTCGTGAACATGGGTGCGCCAATGATGATGTCGTCAGTTCCATCACCGTCGATATCGCCGGAGGCCAGACTGTACCCGAAATAAGCACCGATCTGGGATCCGGTTATGTTTTTGAAATTCTCCAGATCTCGTGTGTAGATGACAACCTGATAAACAATTCAATTTTTGTAACACAAAATCCCAATTTGATATAATATTACGTCCAGGAAATTATTGAAACATACCAATCCCTTCAAATCAGCTCCTCTGGGGACTCCGACAGCAACGCCTTGGATCCCATGACCGACAAAGTCTCCAACAGTGACCGAGTATCCCATATAAGAGTCGTCGTACTTAGGACTGGCTTCAGGGGTTGCGATCAGCATGATTTGACTCACGTTACGAGAGTAGAGTTGCCCTACAACAGATTTAGTGAGTTAGACTGCGTTAGTAGTTAGTGCGGCTGTCCTAATTTTGAACAATATTTCAATGTAGTTGATTAGAACAATTTTCAATTACATTTCATTGCCATTCCAGACAGTCACAAATAATGAAGTGAAGTAAACATTGATCTGATGACTCATGATTGCTCAAGCGACTGTGATTAGCAGCCATTTACCGTACATTTCAATGTGAAGATAATAAATCAAACAGACTTATGAATCATTCAAATGCAGTGATATTAATGATATTAAAATTATTAAATGATACAATTGAACAACACTGACCATTTCACAAAACTCATTATTTTCAATCAAGTAATATCATTAGGTATCCATTATTTAAAGTTTTTAAAACAACAATTTTGACTTGTCATTTTGGGATGAGTGATTAAACAATAAAACGCATTTTTGGCATCCAAAAAATCTTCATTATGTTAAAATCACACCTCCTCAAAAAGCGTTAGGATTCAGGGATATTTTAATAATGTTAAATATATCACCAAATCCTTGTTAATTAACCAAATTAATGTAAAGCCAACGAGTATTATGATTAATTAGTACCTATTAAAAGCAATTATTGACGATGGTCTTATAATTTAAAGCGTTATACGGTTTTATACCTTCTCATTTAATAAATATTAAATACTTCTAATCAAGATAAACGGTGATAGAAATTGTGTAAATTATTACAATAAAAATAATATTTTATTTACATTTAAATGATAAGTTAAAATTTTTCGAAGAAGTATAATGATTCTTTCATATCATCTAAATACATGACTTATAGTTAGCACAATAATGAATGGTATTCCATCAACATCTAATAGGTACATCGTGCATGTTACAATCCATTCGGTCCTGCTACTGCTACAAATATTCAATCCATCTACTCTAATCTTTGGATTCAAAAAGTTTAACAGTATGGAGAAATTTGGGGAAAGCCTCGTGGACGTTCCAAGTGAGTTATATTGTGAGTACACCATGATCTGGGAAGCTAATGACTACCACTATTAATTTTTCGGTAGTTGGAAGTATTTTACATAAAGACATAAATTATTAGAATACAGATAAATATACTATCGTGTCAATTCAGAATTTATTTCCTTATGCAAGCAAATACCGATTAAATAATAGTAGTAAAAGTCGATTTAAATCCATCTGTCTTTAAACAATACTGTACTTACAGAGATTTATTTTAAGGGTTGGTATTATGTTTTTGTTGTACAGTAAAATTTAAAGCTGTGGTATAGATTTAAAACAACAAATAATGGTATTATAGGCTGATTTGAGAATTAGGCGCTCGTAAGCCTCTCGCTATGTTATCGGTTAAGTGGTCAATCGGCGATGGTGGGATTTACCTTCCTGTGGTATAGTCGGCATAAAGTAGTTGAAGTTTTCGATCGTAATGTCTACGGTAATGGTCCGCCCTGCGGGGTGGGATTAAAATTTCAATCAGTAAACATTCATTGGTTCTGGAATTGCCCTAGAACTTTTTTTTTGCAATTAATTAATAATTCAGATTGGCGATTTCCTTTCTTCAACTTCGATGGGTAGTGGCGCAACATTCTTCTTGATTTGTAGAGCAAAAATCTTCCTTTCTCAAATAGGAAAGTAATAACAAATAACCGAGGACTTCAGGACCTCATCATAGTGATTTCCCATCACCTACGACTTTCAATACATAAATTCTTGTGTCAGTACAATAAAATTGATGCACTGAAAGTCTGAGAACACTCAAATTATTTTACACAAACTGTTTATGACTGAAATATTGAATCAAATATTACCTTGCCAGTAGAAGCTGCCTGGGGCTCCCATAAACAAACGCTCTCCATCCTGAAATAGAAGAAAAATACATTTTCATAAAATTGTTCACTAATAGCAAAGCAGTCGAAGATCGGAATTAGTTCTTTAAATATTTTTTTAGTCACACTATTCTAAACAAATACTATTTTCATCTCTATTCAGATATATCCAACCAATAATGGGATAAACCTCGAGGATGCAATCGTTCACGTACATTACAAAACTTCTTTAACTTCCTTTCAACAACAAGAGCATCTATGTTTTTGTTTATTCATATCATAATGATGTTCAAGCAATAAAAATCGACAGTCCCCATAAGAGCACTCGGCAGACGATCGCCATGTTTTACGAGCAGGATCAACCGCATTTTTTATGACCACTTAGGGTAATGCAAAGAGCGGATCCTGCCCTAATTGTGGGTAGGAGATAAAATTATATGGGTTTATAAGTATGTGACGAGCTGTGATTTCCTTCGACGCTGTGAGTGTGTCAATGACGTGTTGGATAGTAATTTTACGATGGGACAATATGGTTGAATTTATGGGTTCACCATGTTTGTTTAGCTCAAACTAAAAACATAAAGAAATGGAATAGGCATAGGAAATAAATTTTGTATCTATCTATGTATTTGTTGAAGTGTGAAACTTGATTGATACCAATCAGTTGATTCACAAAGTCAAGATAATTTGTAAAATTACTNATAAAATTACTGTTTGTTGTGCATCAATAAATTTACAATGATGACATTCATCGAATATCTGAACGTTCCCATCGAGCATAATGTTTCATGTTTTTTTCGCACATGAAAGAAATCCCATACTAACAAGTTGAATGAGACACAAAAATGTTCCGTAAGACACCCCACACGGTAGTCCGTAAAATCGAAAGTCCCATTTCTTTCACATTTCTAGCCCAGTTTGTAAACAGATCCTTGAGTAGTGACAGACGAGGACATACTATGGCGTGTCCCAAGTCTCTAGCTGAAGAGACATACTTATACTTCAATGATATCATTTGTGTAGGACTATCTTTTTAACAAGCTTCTAGAAAGTGAAATGTTTGTGATAGATTTAAGTAAAAGATCTCTCACTTAGCGGTAGCGTAACAATATTCAATCTAAGTCTCTCAAAATTAAATTCACAAAACAATACCTGAAATCCTGAATGTAGAATGGAAAAAAGATTTCATTGACACAGTATTTCCCTCTCGTCCCTTGCACCACACCTAAGGGAGACAAAAAACAGACGTCCCAACAAATCCGTTCGTGTGAACGCACGAGATAAGCCGCAGGAGTTTTGAAAAAGCTCCACAAAAAATACGACCTTTCAAATCCTGTTAACATGTGTTTTGATCCGACTGAAGGTACCGCCATGATTTACATTGATCCATACAGTGTCGCTTTAAAGGTATTCTGATACACTTGTTTGATCTCTTATTTGGGGGAGGCCTATGTTTAGCAGTGGACGTCCTATGGCTGAAATAATGATGATGATGATGATGATTTAATTTAGAAGTTTTTTCATGGAAAAAGTTACCTAGGTATGCAACTCTAAAGCCAATATTTTCCCCATCGAGTTAGCATTGAATCAGCGGCGCGGGCGCCGGCAATGAATAAATATGCACGCGGCTCTCGTCGCGCCTTATACAGCGGACAAGCGCGCGCGCAGCCCGACCGGCCCGTTTCGGCGATGTCACGTGGGCTAGGGTGACCAGATTCATATTTATTTATTTAAATACTATAACTACAAACAAATAACAGACTTCATCATCATTATCATTTCAGCCATAGGACGTCCACTGCTGAACTTATTACTAACTCCTAAACTAAACAAATAACTTGTTACTAACTAAACATCCTAATAAAACTCCACATCCCTTATTCATACGAAACATTTTAACAGTGTTGGTCAACAGCTCATTAGCTCCATTTATTAAGACAGTGAAGCCAAATTATCGTGCGGAGAGTTGTATCCGCCACTACAACCGATGTAAACAACGCCTCATTGTGACCAAGAATAAGAAGAAGAAGAAATTGTCTTTAGGGGACTTGTAAAAGAGCTTTTAAAAAGCCTACCTACTTGCAACATAAATTATTTTTAATTATTATATAGCTCATGATCTACTATGTATTTTATGCTAGGAAAAATCTAGCCGTCTGGCGCTATGTTTCCGTTTTCGTTGCTTGCTTTTAGTTATATTTCGTAGCTCAACGATTTTCCAAACTTGTTTTAAGACACAACTGACATTCTAAGTTGCAGCAGTTGCCTACTATTTTAATTTTACTTAAAATATAATGCTGTTATTACCATTTTTGAAATATTGGAAAATATATTATGGTCTCCCTGTAGCGAGGCGATGTCAAATCTGAGTTTATGGCATGCCGCTCGCCTGATTTGATGTAGTATTGTCATAGCTTGAGTACTCCGTGGGATCGTTCCTTTTGTATGGACTTGTATCTGATTCGCTTCTTTGGATAGGTATTTTGATCTTAAAGATCTATAGAGACCAAAAAAATATTTCCAACTTCCATTCATAATTTTTCAAAGTTAGAAAGTTACTTACGAAATAATTCTAATAACACATTTAAGTAAGTTACCAATTAATAATAGCAGGTATTAACTTACGTGAAAATATGTGAAAAAGATAAAATACTGTTTAAAAATCTAGAAATCGAAACAAAAAGTCTCAAAATAAAACATGTAGCTATATAACTTTATAAAGTCTACTATCCTAAGGTACCAGATATGGAACGAACCAAGCGACATCTGAACGTGGCATAAGAGACTTCTCGGAAGTAAATAATTACTTCAAAACGCAAATTGAATTTTGAAAGCGCATAGCAAATTACCCTTTGAATGCTATCGTCATAGAAACTTAGCATTCCGCTATGAATAATGATTTCTATTATGACAAAGAATACCGCCAACGACTAGAGACCTTAGGCTCCAGTCACATTATAAAGTTAAAGTACCAATAGGCCACATCAATAAGTTTTCTTCATGTTCATCTACTAAAACCATGGTTCTCCATCACAACCAATCTATAAATGTAATTTACTTTTTCTCATTTTTTTTCTAAATATTTCTTAATAGCAATATTATCATTTCCAACTTATCGACACCCTACGTAGCCTTTCTACGACAGATTATACCAGGCCATCAATAATGGGTAAATCTTACAAAAGATGGTAGACAAAGCTACATTTCCACGAAACGAAATGTTCTAATTTAAAGTACCAATGAGCCTGTCTTTAGAAAGCTACAAATATTGCCCCTACCTTGTCTGTACATCTATGAGGTAGCTTTGTTTGTGAGAAATAATATTAATTTATTCAAAAAGCGAAAAGATGTTGTAAACTTCAATGTTAGAGATCCTAGTCATCTAGTATATGATAGCTTACCTAAACTTAAACATTATCTTGATCAGTGTGATGCCATGTGTGTTAAGATATACAATTGTATCCCGAACCATATCAAAAACCTACCAAATGCATGCAAGATTCAAAAGGTCGCTAATAATATGGCTAAGTGACATGAATTTTTATAGGGTAAAGGACTTTCTTAATATGAGACATTGTAATAAGAAATTTTGACTAATTATTTTTGACATCATATTATTTTAATTGGAAATTGTATTTTTTTTGACATTAATAATTAATCTTCATCATTAACATTATTATTAAATTGTAAATATTTGCATGCCATTTATAGTAAGGTAAAACATGAGCACAGTTATTATTATTATCTATCCACATATATGTATATCACCATGTTTTAAGCAAATAAATTTATTTGGTTTTGATTTGATTTTGATTTTTTTAAGTTTCACTTCCAATGTTTTAGAAGACGACGCGACGTCTAAACATAATATATTCTTACTTATAAGGTTGCTTTTTACAACTACGTAACTATTTCTACAATCTATAGGTATACCTCATTATCGCAACTTTTGCCTATTGAGAAGTCGCGAAAAGCTCGGTAAGGAACTCTTAGTGTAACTGCACCCTTAGCCGATTATTATGGTCGTGCATAAACTGTTGAATAATTGAATAACAAAGCAATAGTATTCGTTCCAGGGAAGCTTAAGGCCGTATCCATTCCTTAAAGAATTATTAGCGGTAGCTTCCAGGTTAAGGCATACGATTATTGCAAACTTGCTAATTTCGAAAGCATGAAGATTTATTTTAATGGCAGGTCATATGTTTAAGTAAACGAAATATTGCAGAAGAGGTCAAGACTTAATGCTGTTGCCCAAACTGCTTAACGAACGATAATATTATGATTTTGAATTATATTTATTACACAATACTAAAAGAAGCTGCGGTTTACACGAAAGATCAAAAATACATAGTAAGATTGCGAGAGACTGTCGTCTGAGCTAGGCTAAGTGCGTACTTTTCTCTAGCTTCCTCGTAGTGGATAAAAAAGGCACCTATTAATTTAAAACTTTCGCGTTGCATGAATTAATTTAAGCAGGTTTACGAGGAAGCTCTTGGCCTGTAATCTCACTATACTGTACTGCCTGCGTTTCAGAAGAATGTCAATATTTATTGAAATAGTAATTTGTATTTTCTATATTAGGGCAAAAAAGCTTTTTAAAAGCTCTTCTCGGACCGTGCAATAAAATTCGAATTAAAAATAGCGAAACAGACAAATCCTTGCGTTTGCGCGGGACGCCATTGTCTGCAAATGGCGGCGTTCCGGAACCGTGTCCCGGCCATAGACAATGTCGCGACTGTGTAATCCGCTTTACATAGACAAGGAATTATAAGCCGAAAGATAGCTGGAATTATGCGCATCAATTCAGATACAATGTTGAATGCAATAAGCACTGCCTTACTGCCGACTTTGCTTGCTGAAATTAGAATCGATACCTACCTACATCGATGTTTTAAGTGACGATTTTTGTGAGTTGGTTCGAAAACCGATTGCATAGAGCCATTTCAAATTCAAACAAATCATTAAACAATACTTTGTTTTAACAGCATTTAGTCACTAAATTTTAGTGGAATGTTAAACAAGCGGACCTTT